TGGAATTCTCCTCGGCTGAGTTAATTAATCTAATGCTTGTTTTATTTGAAACTGTTATCCATGCTCGTTTGCTTGTTTTCGTGTCTTATCTTTTCTCTTTGTTCGGGACGAATAAAGGTTTTAGTGTGGGGAAGTTGTTTGTCTTATTTTTTTTGCGTTTTTCATTGTTATTTTTTCTTTCTTTTTCCCTCATATTAGGTCTATTATTTGGTTTTTATCTTGTTTCGTAGTTTTTATGTGTTTTCTTTTATCTTGGGTATTTTTTATACTTTTCGGTCATTTTTCGGTATTTCTTTGTATGAGGTGTGCAGGTCGAGTTCGTGGCCGACTATATATATAGAGGAGAAAATCAATTTGGTGAGAAACGAAATCGAATTCGGTTTCCAAGTGAACGAACTCAAAATGAAAAGTGATGCAAGTCAAGCCCGAGCTCCTCGACCTCCGGCGACCACGGAACTCACTTTCTGTCCGGTGACCCCCATTTTCTCCAGTGTCCTCGAACCTATTCGTCAATCGGGCCCAGCCGAGCGTGAGGTCATCTTGCAGCGAGCAAGGAGCCAGAACCCTCCAACCGCCACGAGAAGCTTCGTCGGCATCCATTCACTACTTGTCTTCGCAATACCGTGCGCGAGTCACCACCGTTACCCTGCTGCCATGCCGCTGCAAGCTCTCCCTCGTTGCTGCAAGACCTTCTTCTCACCGCAGCAACCCTCCACGTCGTGCAGCAAAACCGCGCCGTGAAGAAACTGCCGCGCCGCGCCGTGAAGACCTTCCCTGCCGTGCCGTGTTGTCCCTCCACAACGTGAAGAAGCCGCCCCTCGCACCGCGGCAAGCCTGCCAGACCGCGGCACCTGCAGATTCTCCCGTCGCGTTAAGAACTTCCCTCCGCGGCCGCGACCTTCTCTTCACCGCGGCCGTGGCGATCAAGCAGTCCCAAGAACCCAGACTTTCTGCTTCTCAAACTCGCGGCCTTGGCGGATCTCGCGGCCGCGGAGCACTCCTTCACCGCGGCCCGCGGGCCACTCCGCGGCCGCGACCTGTGCGAACGTCAGATTTGAATTAGGAGATTTCTGTCGTTATTTGAGAGCAGCTCGATACTTCAATTTAGAGTTTTACTTTCTCGTTCTTTTTCCTTTTCACTTTTTATCAACTTCCTTCATCCTTTTGATCAGGAACTCGGTTTTTGATCTCGAATTTGCTATTGTTTTCGGATTCAAGCTTGCCTATCGAATTCAACTATTGAATTTTATCAATTGTAAGAATCTCTTTTAATTTAATCATTAATTATGAATTCTTGGATTGTGATTGCTTTTGTTGATTGTTCGTTTATGAATAGCTAAATTCTTATGCTAGGGATAGGGTATTGATGTTTTGGAATCGTTTGTGATAGTCGGGCTTGAGATTGTTCATAGTGTACGAGTTGCTCTTTTTCTAGGGTTTTTCGATTATCAGGCTTGAGTTTCGCGAATTATTGAAGGGTGACACTTCAACGTCCAATTATTTTAATTGAATTCGTTTAATTCGTGCATGATTTTTATAAAATTCTAAATGACTAGTTGATTAATCACCTTCTAGTTTACTTTAATCGACTCTTTGAACCGAAAGGGGAGGAGTCGGTCGAAATAGACTCATACGAACTAGGCTTGTTCATAGTTCTGTTGCCTAGAAGTTAAATGAATTGATAATCTGACGTTCTAAGTTTGTTCTCTTGTTACGAAAAGTTATTGAGAATGAGTACTTGAACGTGTCGGTTACTCAAATCACTTAGTTGAACAATCACTTGCCGATTAATTGCATTTCGAACCAAAACGGATATCCTCGACTCCCTAGCTCCTTAAATCTTGCTAGTTCTTCGTGATAGTTTTGCTATTTCAAGTTGATTATTTAAATTTTAGTAGTAGATAATTAAAAACCAATCCCAATCATCTGAATTAGAATGTTTAGGTATTTTATATCTTTTTGTGTTTGAATAAATGTGCTTAATATTCCGGCTTACTTTCCTCGAGAGACACTACCCAGTGTCGAATCTTTTGATTCTGCTCCGGAAAATATTTTCAACAATGCTGAATAAAATTATTAACGTCATTAAGTTAATTAAAATTTACAACTGTCATTAATTTAATTTTAAAAAAACATGTATTATAGAAATACTTTTTAAATGTAAACGTATTACGAAAATACGTTTTACTAGTAAAACGTATTTTGATAATACGTATTTATAATAAAATAATTTATTATATTAATTTTTGCCAAAAATTAATTAAAAAATTTAAAAACGTATGTTCAAAATACGTTTTTCTATAAAACGTATTGTGAAAGCACGTTTTTAGTCAGCCAATTTTGCCCCAAAATTAATTTTTTTTTGCCCAAATTTTTTGTTTGCCATAAACCGTATTCTGAGAATACGGTTTATAAAAAAAAAAAACTAAAACGTATTCTGGGAATACGTTTTCCTGTGCAGAAACAGTAACTTTACAAGAAAAATAAAAGAAAACACACCTGTTTGTCGAAATCGATTCCACAACCAAATATTCAACAACCAAAATTCATCCAAAATATATAAATTCCACAAACAAAATTGAACCACAATAATTTATTCAAAATACCAATAAGTCTGAATTTAATTACACAAAATTCAAGAAAAAAAATAATGTCCATAAACTTCCCTAATAGTTGCTAGAAGTGAATTGATCCGGAGGTCTGCGTTGTCGGGAGTCCATCCGACGCTGGTACGTTTGTAAAGAAGACGAGGCTGTGGGCGTGGAAACTTCTTCTTCATCTGAATAATTAGTATTTTAAGAAAATCAGAAATTCTACTTGACAATAAATAAATAAATAATTAAAAAATCATATTGAAGTTAAATAAAAAATTCTGACCTTCTTGTACGTCTTGATGAGGCTCGATGTTGTCAGCGGGTTCGCGCGCATGGCGTCTTCTACGTCCACTAATATTGGCAGCGGGTTGATGCCTCGCCCGGTGCGACTGCATCGTTTTCTCCTGAGATAGAACTTGACTCGACGACGTCCCTTGCGTGACCCTTTGTCCTCCGATAGTCAATCCACTGTAGAGCATGTTTTGGGATTGAGCGATTATGGCCTGCTGCTCTGGAGTGAGGCTACTAACGTCAAGACCCGATAACAAGTTATAGACCCCCTCCGTGGCATGAGTCTGAAAATTAAATTTAAAATAATTAGTATTAAACACACACAAAAAAAAAAAAAAAAAAAAATCATAACAATAAAAAAAACCACAAATTATGAACACTTATACTGCACATCCCCTGCTCGGCAAGTGGTTGATAGCCTCCGTCTTGTTGGACCGCCGGGTAGTTTGCAGGGTTACTGATTAGTCTCACAGTCCTCTCGTGAAACCAATCAAGGTAACTCACCTCAGGCTCAATGAATGACTCCACAGGGTAATATGGGAAGACATTTTGGGCTCTTTCTTCGACCCAAATTCGCAAGCGGTCCATGAAAGGCGACCCAATCAAAGAATTCCCTCCCAGTCATTCCTTGGCCTCGGTGGTGTGTCTCGTATTTGGCCAAACCCCTAATGATCGGAGGGTCGGGGATGGACTGTCGACACCCGAACTGATGGAGGACCATATTAGGCAGGTGAGGTTCACGATTGTTCCAACAGAACATCCACCCCCTATACATCCAGAGGCGTGAACCTTCTGTACACTGGGCCGGCAGAGTACCCTCGTCCAGGTGACGCTTATAGGGCCCCCAATCAACTGTAAAAAAACAAAAAAAAGAATATTAAGGAATTAAGTTATAAAAAAATTAAAAACAAAAAAACGTATATAAATAATCAATATGACTTAATAATAATAATCTTACATCATTCTCTCTCAGCCCTGTTAATTGGTCTCGGATAGCGGCTCTTCCCTTTCCTATGTGTGTCATGTTCCTCTAACCCACCCACCTTAAAAATCACATAATAACAAAAAAAAAAAAACTTTATGTAATTACAAAATCTGATAATTGAAATATTATATAATTTAAATAAAAATAAATGTGATTACCTTACTCCTAAGGGACAACCATGAAATCTCTCAAAGTTCGTATCCCTCATTCTTGGGCGAATACGAGGGATACGTCCCATGCCTAAATCTACACATATTGACATATGCATTTGTTATTAGATATTAGTCTAAATTAGAATAAAAAAATGAATTTCAAATAACAAGTAAGTACATGTATTTACCTGAATTAATTGGACACAGTTTTTGATCCACTTTTATCTCTCAAGATCTGACTTGAGCGTTGGAGGCTCTTCACCGGGAAACACCTCCGGTGTGAGAGTTTCTTGCAGGTTCAACGTTCGACCGGTGGAGGAAGTCGTGTTTACTGCGGTTCTCAGTCGGGCGAACGTTAGACTTGTATTATTGGCGCCGTCTGTGGGACTTTCTGTTCAAAAAGTTGTGTTCTAAGCTCAACCATGGCGGATGGAATTCCCCGAATGAATTTGCAGCCGTCGTTCGACGAGGCATGGACGACGACAAGGCCGATGGGAGCAGGGCCTCCCCCTGGTTTCTCTGCACCCTCACAGACCCCGGTGACCCCAACACCGACGCCTCATGGCGCGGCGATATCCGGCGCTGGAGAAGGCACGAGCAGGGACCAGGAGGCTCGCGGAACAACCGTGGCGACGGTTGTCGCGGCGTCGCAAGCGGGTCCAGTGGTTGCGCAGCAGATTGGGCCGGTGGCGCAGACGGTGCCGTCACTAGCAGAAGAGGTACCGCAACCCCCGACCCCATAAATGGTGACCATGACCAGAGAGGAGGTGCAACGAATGATAGCCAACGCGGCGGCGCAGGCTGTGCAACAGGTCACTCACCAGATATCCCAGGCTACTACCACGCCGACCACGGTACAGGCTACTCATGAGGAAGATGTGTCGAGCTATGGAGGAGGGGGGGAGCCCAGAGATAGGGCAATGGAGAGAATGGCTGAGCAGCTCCGACAATTGCAGGAGAGAATTGAGGGAAGGTCAGACAGGCGTGCTCGAGGACACCCATTCTCGAGGGAAATACTGGCCGCCCCGTTGCCTGCCAGTTTTAAGGAGATAAGATTGATCTTTGATGGCTCGAGCGATCCGGCGAGGCATGTTCGAGCATTTGAAAATATGTCCGTGTTGCACGGATATTCGGACCCGGTTAGTTGCAGAGCGTTCTTGTCGACCCTTCGGGGAGGTGCCCTTGATTGGTTCCATCAACTAGCCCCTGGGTCGATCAAAGACTTCGAGGATTTCGCAGGGCAACTCACCAACCAGTACGCGAGTGCAGTCGCACAGGAGAAGACATATCTTACTCTGATGGCGATGCGGCAGGGCGAGAAAGAGTCGCTACGAAAGTACGTGGCTCGATACAATCAGATGTGCCTAAAAGTGCCCACAGCCGTCGACGAGGTGAAGGCGGGAGGATTAATCAGGAGTTAGCGACCGGGGCCTTGTCGAATGTCGTTGGCAAAGACGCCTGCTCGAACGTATGATGAGGTGTTGAAGAGGTGCAAGAAGTACATCAACCTGGAGGAAACGGAGGCTGAGTTTGCCAAGCTCGAAGAGGTGGCGAGGCCCGACCAGAGGAGGGGAAAGCCAAACTCACCCCGACGGGAGTCACCCAAGAGGAATCCTCAGAAGAGTGGCCTATTCAGGAGATCGTCGCCCAAGAGGGATGGGCGAAATTCGTTTCAAGGAGGACGAGAAGATCGCTGGCAAGGGCGACCTCGACTACCCAACGGGCAAAGATATAACAATTTTACTCCTCTTAACGCTCAGATGGGCGAAGTCCTGGTAGCCATGGAGGAAAAGCTGGATGGCAAGGAGATCACGTGGCCAGCGGCGAGATTCGACGGACCGACCAAGCCAAGGTCGGGCAGGTACTGCAGATTCCATTGGGATTATGGGCATAACACAACAGACTGCAGACATCTGAAAGACGAGATCGAGCGCTTAATAAGGGCAGGGCATTTAAAAGAATTTTTCATCCAGGATCGACCACGAGGAAAGGAGAAAAGGAGGTGCAGGGAGGAGTCAGTGGTGAGAAGTGACAGGGACGATGATTGAGAGGATGATGACAGGAGGGAAAAGAGAAGTCGAGGAAGTGACCCTCGAGAGGAGCCTAGGAGGGAGATGCCATTAAAGAGAGGCACTATTTACATGATTTCTGGGGGGCCCACGGATGGGGACTCGAACAATGCACGGAAGGGGCATGTGCGAGCTGCGAAGCGTAAGAGGGAGGAAGTTGGGATAACTGGTCGAATGCCGGTGATTAGCTTTCGAGCAGAAGATGCAGAAGGGGTTTTATTGCCCCACAATGACGCGCTTGTTATCACTGCAGAAGTGGCTGGTTTCGATGTGAAGAGGGTGTTCATCGGCACAGGCAGTTCGGTCGATGTCATGTTCTACGACTGCTTCGCGCAGATCAACAAACACCTGAATCTGGAGCTGAAGCCGGTGTCGACGGCCTTGTACGATTTTAACGGGGGAGAGGTGATGCCGATGGGCGAAGTGAGCTTAACTGTGGCGTTGGGGTCGGGCGACACCAGGAAGGTAAGGATGGTGCGGTTCGTAGTAGTAGGAGCAGAGTCGTCCTGCAACATCATATTAGGACGAACGGGATTGAACGCGTTCCAAGCAGTTGTGTCTACATACCACATGACGATTAAATATCCGGTGGGCGAAAATGTGGGCGAGATTGCTGGAGACCAACTCACATCGAGGAGTTGTTACCAAACCACCGTCAGTAATAACAAGCAAATGGCGAGGAAGCAGGTGAAAGGGAGAGAGGATAGACCAGATCGACCAGGAGGATCGAGGTCGAAGGAGGAGAAAGGATGGCAAGATAAGGGGAAAGAGAAAATGGACATGCAACCGGGAGGTGAGGTAGAGGAGGTCCAGATGGTAGAAGGGAAGGATGACCGAAAGTTCAGAATTGGGAAAGAACTAGGCGAACCAATCAGATCGAGATTGATAGACTTGATCAGAGAATTTGCAGATATCTTCGCATATACAGCAGGGGAGCTAACCGGGATCGAGGCCACGATAATCGAGCATCGGTTGAACATCGATCTTACAGTGAAGCCGGTGAAGCAAAAGAGGAGGCACCATGGAGCGGAGATGGACAAAATAATAGAGCAAGAGGTCGAGAAGCTCTTAGATGCCGGACATATAAAGAGGATCCAATTTCCCGAGTGGTTGTCTAACACGGTCATGGTATCCAAATCAGGAGGGAAGTGGAGGATGTGCATTGATTTCCGCGATCTTAACAAAGCATGCCCAAAAGATCTGTACCCATTGCCGCGAATCGACCAGCTGGTAGACTCGACGGCGGGTTGTGAACTCCTCAGTTTGATGGATGCCTCGCAAGGTTATCACCAAATCCCTTTGGCGAAGGATGACTGGAAGTGGGTGAGTTTTATTACGAGCAAGGGCACCTATTGCTATGTGGCGATGCCGTTCGGGTTGAAGAATGCAGGGGCGACCTATCAGAGGTTGGTCGACCAAATTTTCAAAAACCAGTTGGGAAGAAATATGGAGGTGTATGTGGACGACATGTTGGTCAAAAGCAAGAGGGAAGAGGATCATGCAGGCGACCTGAGAGAAACGTTCCAAACATTGAGAAGGTACGGCATGAAACTTAACCCCGCTAAGTGCTTGTTCGGAGTGAAAGCGGGAAAATTCCTGGGTTATATGGTGACCAAGAGGGGAATAGAAGTGAACCCAGAGAAGGTGCGGGCGGTCATCGAAATGAAACCACCCGCCAGTGTGAAGGAGGTCCAAATCCTAACTGGTCAAATAGCGGGCCCGAGCCGATTTATCGCCAAGGTAGCCGAGAAAAGTGGCCCCCTGTTCAAAACATTAAAGAAGAGCTCGAGATTCCAATGGACAGAGGGAGCGCAGAAAGCTTTCGAGGAGCTGCGGGAGGTGCTGGTGAATTTGCCATTGCTAGCCAAACCAGTGCCTGGAGAGGAGCTCATACTCTATATATCCGTGGGCGAAAGCGCAGTAAGCTCGGTGTTGTTGCGTGAAGAGGGAGCAGCTCAGTTCCCAATATATTATGTTAGCCGAGTAATGCAGGGAGCGGAGTTGAAGTATTCAGAGATTGAGAAATGCGCACTGGCGGTGGTCATGACAGTCAGAAAATTGCGACCATACTTCTTAAACCACAAGGTCAGGGTGCGGACGAACATGCCCTTAGAGCAAACATTGGGTCGACCAGCAGTATCAGGTCGACTCGTAAAGTGGGCGGTCGAACTGAGCGAATACTCTATAGTGTACAAGCCAAGGAGGGCGATCAAGGCCCAGGTTTTGGACGATTTTATCCAGGAAGGTACAAAGGAGGAGAGCGCGGAAGGAGAGTGGCAACTGTACGCGGATGGCTCAGTGTCGAGAAGTGGGGCCGGTTTGGGGATAGTCCTGGTCTCCCCTAAAGGCGATTATTTGGAGTTTGCTATCAAGTTGGGATTCCGCGTGTCAAATAACGAGGCGGAGTACGAGGCGGTTATAAAGGGGTTACAATTAGCTCTGGCCGGTGGTGCTCGAAAGGTATTCGGATTCCCAGTTGGTGGTCGGCCAATTTCAGGAAGGTTTTGAGATCAAAGAGGATCGACTGCAACGCCTTGTGGACAATATGAGGAAACTGAAAGAAGAATTTGCGTCGTTTGAGCTAATACAAATACCTCGGGGAGAGAACGGTAGGGCTGATTTGTTATCTAAAATCGCCCAGAATCTGGTAGATTGCAAGAGTAGAAATGTGACTCTGCTCCACATGGAGAAAAGCACAGCTGAGGCCGAGGTAGCAGAAATTGAAGAGGTAGAAGATTGGAGGTCCTCGATCCAGAGAGAGTTGCGAGAAGGGGCAATAAAGGTAATAAGGAGATTTTTCGAACAGGGCGGGGTGCTCTACAAACGATCCTACGCAGGCCCGCATTTGAGGTGTGTGTCCAGAGAGGAAGGTCGAAGCGTTTTACGAGAGGTGCATGAAGGGTGTTGTGGCGATCATAGCAAGGCCGGAGCCATGGTCGCTAAAATCTTAAGAGCTGGTTACTTTTGGCCGACAATGAAAGCGGATGCGAAGGAAATGGCCAAAAAATGCGGGCAATGCCAAAAGCATGGCCCACTCATACATTAACCGACGGAGATGATGACCACAATGAGCGCACCAATCCCGTTCGCACAATGGAGGATCGATTTGGTGGGGCCAATGCCACAAGCAACCGGGCAGCGTAAGTTCTTGATCGTCGCGGTCGACTATTTCACGAAGTGGGCAGAAGCTGAGCCGTTGGCCAAAATCACGGAAGAAAAAGTAATCCAATTTTTATAAAACAATATTTGCTGTCGATTCGGAGTCCCCAAAATTCTAATATCTGACAACGGAACTCAATTCAACGGAAAGCGGGTCAGAGCGTGGTGTGAGGAGATGGGGATCGAGCAACACTTTGCCTCGGTCGCCCACCCTCAGGCCAACGGACAGGTGGAAGTGACCAATAGAATTATATTGAATGGCTTGAAGACGAGGTTGGAAAAGGCCTCGGGGGCTTGGGTCGATGAGTTAACATCTGTGCTCTGGGCATACAGGACCACCCCGAGGTCGACCACGGGGGAGACGCCGTTCAGCCTGGTCTATGGAATGGAGGCACTCTTGCCAATTGAACTGGAGTTGCAGTCCCAGAGGTAAACACATATGATCGAGAGCAGAATGAAGAGCTCATGACAACTGCCCTAGACACGATCGAGGAGCTAGAGAACAAGCCTCGGCCAGATTCGAAGCGTATAAGCAACGAATGAGAGCAGCGCATGACAGGAGAGTGAAGATTCGCCGATTCCAGGTGGGTGATCTGGTTTGGAAAAGGGTGGACGTGCTCAAGCATGTAAAAAAGCTGGAGCCCAATTGGGAGGGACCATACCTGGTCGAAAAAGTTCACGCAGGGGGAGCATACTCGCTGAAGGATGCGGAGGGCAGATCCTTGGCCAGGTCGTGGAATGTAGCTAATCTTAAAAAATATTATGTGTAGAACTTTCTTTTCCTAATCTCGAGCAGTGATCTAAGGTAATTTTCGTCCAAAAATTTATCAAAATTGGCTTGACTTCATATGGAAATGCTTTTCTGTCAATGTTTTCAATTCGCTACAATTACAAGTGCATGCGGATTTCTTTTTACCCATTTAACGACACTTTACATACTTTACATGTCCGCGAGCCGACACTCGCGATGGAAGCCGGTCGCCCATACGACTCTTGGAGAAGGAAGACCAAAGTCCTTCGTTTGTGAACATCCCGATCGAGGGGTGGGCGAAGGTCGCTTGTTTTCGGAACACACTAAGGGGTGGGCATGCGGTCGACAACGTCCACGCCTCCGGGCTGGACGACCACAATGTTTTCGGAACATCCC